CAGACAGCGACGCTACGGCACTGTATGGCAATACACGCAGTTTGACATTGTACGGTAACGAGGGTCAGATGTTACAAGTACACTGAATATGATCCAACAGACCTTAAAACAACTTCATTGACTAGCGCGTAACCCTTTCATATAAGACCCAACAGTTAAGGGGCTTGTCTGCTTGATATTATTTATCCGTGTCGTTCATTGTTTCTTGATGAATTATTGATATAATAAATTCCGGCATCATAAGTGTTAGACGTCCAGGAACTTTCACTGTGAGTCAAATGTAAAAATACGCTACTTGCATTGTATTGTGGTACAGCAACATTACGTCAGCACGTGATGGTTGTTTGAATAAGTTTATATCTGAATAAAATATTGATAAATGGATTGAAGATATGGAAAAATTTATGACGTTTGCAACTGTTCATTTAAATCTCAAGCTAACAAGCAGGCTGCTGCAGTGCAAAAAATGGTTCTTCGGTCTCACGCCGAATGTGCAATTTCCGCGCCAGCAGGTACACCCTTTGTGTCCATTAAGGCGAAAAGGCAATTGAATTCATTCAGTTATTTTGAGTCCAAGCGCCTTAAGGTCAAAACGGCACGATCCAAAAATCTGGCTTCTGAATCGAAGCGAAAGAGCACCGGTGTCCTTGCGTTGGCTGCCCAAAGGTGGCAATATAAGATACAACACCATGACGGCAACCCTCACGACGGTGCTTCACCGTTTTAGAGTCTTGGGTCATGTTTTATTATGAACGATTGGCATCCACTGACTGCGATACATGGCTGTAACGCGGGTACTAACAGATCAGAGAAGGCGATCACCTAAAGATAAAGTATTCCCCTCTCAAAAGTTCATAAATTCTGAACATAGCTGAGAGACGCTGACCGTTTCACATTAAAGGTCATTGGCTGTGAAATTATATGCCGCTTTGAAGGAAGTTAATCGTAGAGATTAACGCCTCACGTTGTTTGAGGATACCTCACCCTCTTGTCACTCCTGATTAGTGCATATATTTAGTATGACTGAAATCTCATTCCTAGTTGCGTTGAAATGCGTTTTGCAGAACGGTATTAATATATCCTTTTCCGGAGTTATATTTCATGTTGTCAGTAAGGTCTCTGGTTAACCAAGGTAGGCGTGAAGCGCTAGGGCATCACGCAGTATAATCACAAGTCTATTGGCATCACAGTATCAGAGCATGATACAGGCCATACTCTTAGCATGTCAACAACTTGCTAAATGTTTCTGGGCTGGCTACACCAAGCATAGAAAAACGAATTCCTGACAAAAGGGAATTTTGAATCAACGAAATAAATTTGTTATGCACTTGCATTTAGGTCAGCACATCTTCCTGCAAAGCCAAACCACTTTCCCTTGTGACAGCAACCTTCTGTCTGAGCAGCTATGACCCTAGATTTTGGCAATGTCTAATACTTCTGTTAACTGATGCTTCAGTAATTGTCATTGTGTCAATTGCTGTATCGAGGCAAATTATTATTTTACGTATTATTTGCTTCGTATAAGCGAAGTTATGTTGATTCCGCCATGCACCGTTCAATGCGGTTTCACCAGAGAACGTGAAGGTGCAAATTCAACTCAAACGCCGCATTTCATGGCATTCGATTTTCTAGCACCCTAAAAGTTGAAGCCATCACTGAGAGAGTTCATATGCTAAATTTTCGCAAAATCTGAAGCAGGCATTTACATCATGACATTAAGTACAACAACTGTCTTCTTCTAGGCAGCCAGACTACAGTATGATCTGCACCTATTGGCAGCATTCATTTGTCTTAGACTCGCTATCCATAGAGCCTTCATCTATAGATTTTTGGTGAAAGCGAGTCTCATCGTAAGTAGGCGATGCCCACTGTCGGGGCTAGCGGACACACTGACGGAGGTTTACCAAGCAGTTTCTAAACAACCTGGTTCTTCGTTTTGTAGACAGACATGATCCATGCTCATTTTTTATTCGCAGTCCTCTCTCGAACTACATGCTGCTAGTGAGCAATTAGCTTTTCTTCGCCAGAGTTTTCAGTTTTTCTCGTCGTGAGGTCTTTTCCCATATGGCGTACTTACCAAAACTCTTTCTGCTATCTTTCCATTGCTTGACCTCAGCAACAGAGTCTGTCATTGCAACAATATTTTAATTTTTGAATTCGTATTTCCTCAAGCTCTTCTACATCGTACAATTCTTTTGAATCGTCCTCCTCGCTTACGCTTGTGGGATCGATTAGATCTTGAGCGAGTGATTCATGGTCAGTTGCAGATATGCACTTATACGACGAAGACTTCAGCTGACAGGAGACGAAACTTGCACACCATTCTTTGCAGATCATATAGCCAACAACTGCAATGTTTTTCGCGTCTTCTCTTTTTCAGCCTAAGGTTGTTCTTGTCCATTCATTTACCCCCGAACTCCTACCGCCCTGGCGTTTTATAGAGACAGGCCATGTCGCAGGTTCTCTTAGACTTATCTGACGTTAGATGGTTAATCGACACTTGAGCAGTTGTAGGCGCACGGCATGAGAAAAGTCTTTTTCCGTTTTCTTCCTAACTACCGGCTACCTGAGACGTTTTTAGTAGAATGTTGTTCGCAACATTCTGCTGTCAAGTGCTGGTCGAGCGACGTGCAAGTACTGAAGCCAAGTTCTATGAATACTTTAAGCTATTATAGCTTACGTGCTGGCTGGACTGACAGTGATTTGTTATATCTGTTCAAACTGGACTGACTTGCAGCCTCACAGGAAAGAATTTGGTCCCTCTCTGGGTATGCAACCTGACACATTGATAGCACTTTTGTACCTGTAAGAACTTGCCACTCGATCGTCATCGCCGTATGGCAACTAAGACAATCCTTACCTCGTTTTCCAGCAGATTTTCTAACAGGAACTGCAAAAAATATAGGGCTCTAAATTATGGAAACTGATGTTTTCATTTCCTTCCTTCTGATATCTTCCCTCGTGCACTGTTCCGTTTTCTGATTCTCTTTTTTAAACAGTTGCTATCGTTAGGGCAGAAAAAATGCTTTTTTTATCAACCTCTTATCCTTTCATCCCTGTCAGTGATATCGCAAAATCAGTGCCTTTGTCGAAGCATTTCCCAAAAACGGTATTAGGTGCAAGCTGTTATGACGTTAGTGCGATCGTGTTCCAAAGATTACTGGGGAATTATTTTCTTAATGCCAAAAAAGCCCTATTTACTTGTGTCAGGCATCGAAACGATGGCAGTACCGAACACACGTCAATCAGTGGCAGAGGTGACACAAAATGCATGAGTTTTGAGAAATGCCATGACTTGTGAGTTATCTATCAGATTCGTACACGTAACCGGATAGTCAATGATGAATACGCGTCGGATATGGCTTAATCGCATGGTCAAACACATGGGTAACAGGAAAAAAAGATAAGGTACCGAATCAGTGATCATCAAAGTCTCAGAAAAATCATACCTCCATTATTTTGTGAATGCCACATTTGCTGGAGCTGGAAAACAGCTGCATGGACCAGTTTTGACTGCATTAAAGCATCGTTATTCTACGGCGATGGAACAGTCGATTCGACAGCTTTGTCCGTCGTGGTCCACTGCGCTTGACTCTGGTCCACTTCAAAAGCCAACGACAATAAGCTGTTGGTCATTCAACTGGCGCGACGGAGAGGATAATGTGCAAATACCCTTTCGAGAACATTGTTCACAGTGCAAAAGTACAAAAGTTCGACAATTGTACAGTCTAACGGATGTGACATGCAGTCAGCTATCTACGACACCAAGGGAAAATTGTTCGACTACACGGAATGACTCACGTGAGAAGGGCAAACCGTGGGAAACTGGAAATGACGAATCGGACTCCGTTTGACTCTAAACGTCCCCTCGGCGTGCCAAAGCATGCTGGCCCTAGCCAATGGTCAAAGAATCTCTGGCCAATGGAAGACCGGAAAAACATTTGTACCCAAAGCCTCTCCAACACGCCCACAAATGAAAATATGTCCGATGGAAGCTTGTTGATTCAAGGCATGAGGTGAGTAACGTGTATGTATGTGATAAGTTGTCCGTTTCCGATCGAATACCAAACAAGGAACGTTTTTATAACGCCGAGTCTCGCACGCCTCGTTGCGGGCCGCTGTCGTCGCGGTTTTTGGCGCCGGACCTTCGGACGGCGCTTGGCGGCCGGACACCTCGCCGCGGACTCTTTCAGGTATCGTTAAGAAACGATTGCAGCAGCGTATGAATTTATGGCTGATTGTTCATCAACATGTAAACTCGTATTGTTCTGTCCTTTTCCTTGCTTGTTTATGTTTTGCACAAGACAGTAAAACTACTCACAAAACGAGGTAACGCCTTCATTAGATATCCCCAAACAGCTGTTAGATTACCACCGTCATTTCTTGTCTTAAAGGAACTGAGGAGATTGTTCTTATGCTATATCGTGAGGCAAAGCACCAGTCCACCCACTGACATGGAAGATGTCTCAAATTTGTATTGTAATTCACCGCCATTGTGGAACAGCTTTCCGTCCTGCTAACTTTAGGCACTGAAGTTCTGCGTGTGAATTTAACATCTGCTTCTATATTGTATACGGACATTTGCTAAACGTTAACACTGATTAGTACAGTTACACGTTAACTCGGTTCCTTCGACTTGTACACCGAAAGAAATGTATTTTTCGACTGAGCAAGGCAGACATTTGATTTTAAATCATATTCTTTATTATTTGACTAATGATGAACAAAACTGAATCATTCAAATGCACTAACCATCTAAAACTTTACGCCAAAAAGTGTTTCACCTAAAGCGCATATTTAAGCATGGAAATACGTAGGAATACATGGGCAAAATAATCAAACTTCAGCCAAACACTACTATGTTTTAAGGCAATTACACATAAATGTATCCATAGTCTGACGATGAATCGGTGTGCAGTGTTCGTCGTGACAAGAGGCCGAGAGGGTTGCATGAAGTCAAATGGACGAAACGTTCGAGAGTAACGTAATGCTGTGAGAATTTACGAGACCGGAGACGGAGAAAAAGGCTTGGCAACCCAGTCGACAGCATCCCAGTAGATGTAACGTACGCGGTTGTTCGAGGCTGAATTTTCTGCACGACTGCGATTCCTGACTTCGCGATACCAGATCTTGTACCTGGGCATGTAGTTCCATCTGGAGTCCCGCAGGTCTTGTTCTGCGACTGCCCTTGCTGCATCGTCGAACGCGAAGTAGTAATTGAAAAACATGAATTTTTCTAGAAACAGCACGTCTTCAACACCGACAAACGCCCGTCTTCTCGCACCGAAAGACATCATGCCGACACAATGACCACAAACACTACATCTGCACCGCTGCATTATGGGCGGCTTCTGATTGGCCAATTCTTTGACACGTGATATAGTCCAATCAAAGTAATCCAAGTAGCAATTTAAAAACATGAACTTCTGAAGAGATAATATATCTAGAACGCCGGTGTAGGCTTGTTCTCCTGCACCGTAACAAGCCACGTCGACAGAACGAGCTCAAATGTTGCATGTACACCACCGAATAAATGGCGGCTTCTGATTGGTCAGTTTATTTTGTCACGTAATTTAGTCCAATCAACGTTTACTGCCGTTTTGCTTCAATTTTTCCATTCTAAGAAATAATACTCTGTCTCCAAGTAATCGTGAATAGACTACAGGTAAAAAAGTGATAAAGAGACATTGTGGAATGGTGCAGAATTAACTTTGATAACCACATACAGTAACCGGAAATGATCCTCATGATCTCTACAGTTCCAAGTTACTGAAACAGTAACATTTACGGGTCGTCAGAAGTACATTAGCAACTTGCTGTTGAATGTGTGAAATCGACCAATAACAAGCTTTCTATGACTGTACACTAATCACGGTCAACATCACAGTCCTGGCGCCTTCTTTTGACCTGCTCTTACAGCTAGCACCAGGTTTAGCTCTGAAATTGCCATTATTTATTCGTTATTTAAATTCCGGGGATAAATTTTCTGAAAGGTGTTTTTGGAAAGTTGAGAAGGATGTGAGGAAAGAATAAACCCATTTAAACTAGCGAGCATTTGTCTTACTAAATAAATAATTTCTCCTTTACTGGAGACGAATAATGGCTGGCTGAAAAGGCAGGACGTTATAGACTAAATTTAGTCAGAACTCTTCCATCAGACGCTGCATTTTTTTGGGGATTCAACCTGCGGATATATTGCACTATTTGAATATATACCACGGTACATCTTTTTATTGAGATTTTTGCCAATAAGGCGATGACAAGTTGCACCTGCATCTGCATTATGCATGACAATTTCGCATTGTTCAGTTTCTTTCTGTTCTGTGCGGCAGATAGATCTACAGCGTAACCGAATATGCTAACCAGGATCCGTTTCTGGTAATATTTAAAAGCTGTGCAAAGAACAGAAAGAACCGCAACAAGTAGAATTGGCAAATCCATCATTATATGTCTTGAACTGCCTCTTTCTGAATGGAAAGGAGCAAGACCTACCCTAAAGGCAGAATGCTACTAATTGCATATAGTTAGAATCTTTGGAATCAAACACTGTGGATCACCTTTAACCTCAAAATTGAGTGTGAGCCTTCACATTTAACACAGCTCAGAGATATTCCAAGAAGCAGACGGCTCCAGTACTTTTGGCGTTGGAAGCAAGGTTATGCGGCTGGTTTATTTGGCTGTCCATGCGGAACGTTAGAAAAGTATTTTGTGTTAGATGACTCTGCCACCCCAAGCAAATAACGGACAATGAAAGTGAATGAACGCTTTGGTGCTGGAATTTCGTCAACTTAATTTATTTATACGAATGAAGCTGCCAGAAAAAGTGCTACATGCAATAAAATAGACGAACCGAGGAAACGCTCCTTATGACAACGGGTTACAGTGGAAGTCGTGGAATCAGGAGTGAGGCACTGAGCAATGTATTGGCCAGTTTTTTTTGTTATTTGAAACTGAAAATTCCATACAATGGGATTACCGTATCAGCAATTCTATTCCATGAAAAAGGAGGCAATGAGGATCTAAGAAACTACACAAGTTAATTTAGTTGCCAATCGTCTACTAGATCCTTGCGAAGGCACTGATGAACAGACTTCAAAAAACCTTGGTTGCTGCACAGCCAGAGGAGCACGAAAAATTTAGAAGTACATTCGTTTCAATGAACATTCTTCAGTTGGTACAAGAAGTACTTCAGAGAAGCAACGAACTCTAATTCCCTCTCTGCCTGAGGTCGTCAATTTCGGGAA